GGAGCAGGGAGCCCGATGTGGGGCTCGATCCCAGGACCCTGGGATCATGACCTGAGCCGAAGGCAGACGCTTAACGACTGAGCTGAGCCACCCAGGTGCCCCTCTTTCTTTCTTTCTTTCTTTCTTTTCTTTCTTTCTTTCTTTCTTTCATCTATCCATCTATTTGAGAGAGAGACAGAGAGATGGGGGATGGAGACAGAGGGTACAAGTATGGTAAGAGGCAGAGGGAGAGGGAGAGGGAGAGGGAGAGAGAAACTCCATCAGGCTCCATGATGAGTTTGGAGCCCCAGGTGGGGCACAGAGCCCACTGCAGGCTGGATCCTGAGACCCGGAGATCACAACCCCAGCCAAAACCAAGAGTCGGACACTCAACCAACTGTGCCACCCGGGACCCCAAGAGAGCAAGGCCATTTCTATTGACCAATCTTAAAGGGCCTAGAGCGGTACAGTGCAATAAAACTTCTGTGATGGAATTAGTCTACATCTGCACTGTCCAGTACTGCAGCCTAGAGCCACAGATAGCTAGCGGTTCAGCACTGGAAATGTCGCTCATGTGACTTGAGGAATCATTTTAAATTAAAAAAAATGTTTAGTTAAAATTAAAATGTACATAGCCATAGTAGCTAGTGGCTACTGTGTTGGATAGCATGAGCCTAGAAGGTTCCATGTGGGTTGTGTGCCTCAGCACAGAACCTTCTTGGAAATTTGTCTATCAAATGTGAGTGTTCCCCTGAATCACCCTTGACCGAGCTGCACCTTCCTCTGGGGCAGAAATCACTGGATTTCCCCCTTGACCTGTGTTCTCTCTCTGGAGTCTTTCATGAAGTGCTACTTTGATGTCCCTTGCCATTTACGTTCACCTCCAGAAGCTGGAATAGGCTGCCCTCCAGGGCAAAACTCTGGAGTGCGGTAGTCACCAGCCAGTTCCCTGTGGATAGGAGATTATGAGCAAGAAAGAACCCTGGATCCACATCCATACCAGCATGGACGTGAAGGATGGTCACCCTCGTCGGGGACTGCTACAGACTCCCACTCTATATGTCAACAAATACTACAGGCTTCTGGCCTCAGTCAGGGCTCAGTGAGGGTCGGGATGACAAAACATCACAAACAGCTCTGTGATCCTGACCCAGGAAGTGTTGCCTTTCTGCACAGGGTTGTCATTCTGGTTGACGTTCCCATTATCTATTGCTGTATAACAAACCATTCAAAATTTACAGCTTAAAAAAAAAATAATTTCACTCAGGAAACTCCAATTTGGGCAGGGTTCAATAGTGAAACTCATCTCTGCTCCATGTTGTATCAGCAGGGATACATCCCACCTATTGATAGGAGTAGTTTCAAAGAATTTGGGCTGCACTTCCAGTGGACGTCCTGGCGGATGACTATGTCATTTCTCCAAGGTTCACCTCAGATAAAACCAGAATGAAACAGTCTAGTGAGGGAGACAAGCATCAAATAAACAGCCACTTAAATCCCAAATTGAGTCATTATCCAAAGAAATAACATCATAGCTCTGACAGGTGGTAAGAAAGAGAGGAATGCATTTTGTTTTGTTTTGTTTTATTTTGTTTTAACTAGTCTTCATGCCCAACGTGCGGTTGAACTGATGACTCTGCGATTAAGAGTCACATGTTCTACCTACTGAGCTAGCTAGTTGCCCTGGAATGAGAGTATTTTAAAGGGAGACTTTTGCCCAGTCTGGGGTGTCAGGGAAGGCTTCTGTGAGGAAATGGGATGTTTGTGCTGAAACCTATTAAGATTACCAGGAGGCACTTAACAAAACAGGTAAGGGCAGGTGAGTTGGAAAGGGTTCCAGAAAGAGGAAACAGTATTCATAAGGTCCCTGGGGCAAAAGGAGTTGGCAAAGTATAGTAATTAAAAGGCTAGTATGGCAGAAAAGAAAAGGTTGTAGGGGCAAGAAGGGTCAGTGGCCAGAAACTTGGTAGAACCTTGTTAAGCGTTAGGCCGTGTTAAGAAAGCTGGTGGTTTTTATTCTGGGGGCAAAAGAAGGCTACTCAGGGGTGCCTGGGTGGTTAATGGTTAAGCGTCTGCCTTCGGCTCAGGTCATGATCCCAGGGTCCTGGGATCGAGCCCCACATCTGGCTCCCCGCTCTGGGGGAAGCTTGCTTCTCCCTCTCCCTCTCCCCCTGCTTGTGTTCCCTCTCTCGCGTTCTGTCAAGTAAATAAAATAAAATCTCAAAAAAAAAAAAAAGAAAGCTACTCAAATACTTTAGGCAATAGGGTGACATAATTTATGCTCTGAAAAGATCTCTCTGGTTGCAGTGAGGTGTACAGATTGGAGGTGGCCCTGAATAGATGCATAGAGACTACTTAAGAAGCTATTACAGGGGGGCGCCTGGGTGACTCAGTCGTTAAGCGTCTGCCTTCAGCTCAGGTCAGGTCATGATCCCAGGGTCCTGGGATGGAGCCCCGCATCGGGGTCCCTGCTCGGCGGGAAGCCTGCCTCTCCTTCTCCACTCCCCCTGCTTGTGTTCCCTCTCTCACTGTGTCCCTCTCTGCCAAATAAATAAATAAAAATCTTAAAAAAAAAAAAAAAAGAAGAAGAAGCTATTACAGGGACACCTGGGTGGCTCAGTCGGTTAAGCATCTGCCTTTGGTTCAGGTCATGATCTCAGGGTCCTGGGATCGAGTCCCATGTCGGGCTCCCTGTTCAGCGGGGAGTCTGCTTCTCCCTCTGCCTGCCGTTCTCTCTCTCCCTCCCTCTCTCTGACAAATAAATAAAATCTTAAAGAAAAAAAAAAAAAAGAAGCTATTACAGTTTTCGAGCACCTGGCTGGCTCAGTCAGTATAGCAAGCGGCTCTTGATCTCGGGGTTGTGAGTTCGAGCCCCATGTTGGGTATAGAGATTGCTTAAATAAACTTAAAAAAAAAAAAGAAGAAGCTATTGCATTTTTTAAAGATTTATTTATTTGAGAGAGAGAGAGCACACGTGCAGTGGGGAGGGGCGGAGGGAGAGGGAGAGAGAAATACAAGCAGACTCAGGGCTGAGTGCAGAGCCCGACGCAGGGCTCGATCTCACAACCCTGAGATCAGACCTGAGCCGAAACCAAGAGTCCAACACTCAACCAGCTGTGCCCCTCCAGGCGCCCCAGAGCTATTGCAGTTTTTATCAGGAAAAGTGGCTGGTAGTTTTGGAGTCAGATGGTGTCAGAGGAGATGAAGGGAGTAGTTAGATTTAGGCTGTTCAGGAGGTCAAACTGATAGGACTTAAGGAGGGAGGGGATACGGGAGAAAAAGGGAGCCAAGGTGTTCGGATTGTCTACTGCTGCAAACAAACAGCCACAAAATGTCATGACTTAAAACAGTAACCGTATTATCATCTGCTCATGATTCTGCAGTTTGGACAGGGCTTGGTGGGGCAGCTCATTTCCGTCCTGCCCGTTGGCTTGGGTGGCGGCCGACACGGCTCGGCTTGGATTTTATGTCTGGGTGCTCAGTGCTTGCTGCCGACTCGGTTGTTTGGTTCTCCTCTGCATGGCTTCTCCATGTGGTTAGCTTAGTGCTCACAGGGTGCTTGGACTTACGTGGCAGCTGGCTTCCCCTAAGTGCAAAAATGGAAGCTGCTAGTTTTGCCACGTTCTATTGGTTAAAGATCAAAGGCCAGTTCAGATTAGAAAGGGGACTACACAAGGGCACAAATACTACTTGTGGTCCTTTGGGGGATACAAAATGAGGTCTCCCATACAGAGCTTCCTAGCTTTCTGACTTTCGCACTTGGATGGATGGTGGTGCTATGCAGGGAATTGGGAGCACCGAGTGTGGCTTCCCTCTTCTGTTAAAAAAAAAAATGACTGCATTCTGTAAGATGGGTGATTATATTTCAAGTCTCTTCTTCAGAGGTGCTTTCACTGAAGCCTCGGGCTGGATTGAATTCCTCTGTTATAGCTCCCCAAGGTTTCCTTGGTTTCCCCTCTGACATTCATCCCGCTGGGGAGCACTGTCTGAAGTTAGCTTCCCCCTCAGATGTGAGCTCCAGGAGCCCGTGGTGCTGGGTCTCACTTGTTCCCCAACCCCATCCCCAAACTCAGCCCACTTGACACAGAGTAAGTTCTCCATCTTTGATGAATTGAATCTCATCTCCATCTTTTTCCAAATGAAAGGTATTATTATGACCCACGCATTGTATTTTTAAAGTCTTTTATTTATTGTTAGTTATCTCTGCACCCAAGCTGGGGCTCGGGCTCATGACCCTGACATCAAAAGTCACATGTTCTTCTGAGTCAGCCAGGCGTCTCCCATGTACTGTATATTTAAACCAAGACTTTCCTAAACATGGGTCACTGGGAACAAGGCCATTAAGGAACTGGGATACCACCTGGTTTTCAGAAGCTAAGTAGTTTAGCTCTGTACACTGGCTGGAATATGCTGCGGCTGCTGTTGTTACCTGATGGAAAAAAACTACGGATTGGCGATGCCACCAGTTATCTGTTGTTCTAAACACCGACAGTTCCAGTGATGGATTCGGGAAGGTTGGCGCAGAGGAGATACACTAGGCCTCCTCTAGTCCCAAGTGGCTCCAAGGGAGTGAGACAGTATGTGGTGCCCAAGGGTGACAGGAGCAAGGGTAAAAGAACAAAGGGAAAATATAGACCCATTCTTTTTATATAAAATCATTTAATTTCTTTCTCTGTTAAATTACACTCAATCCAGATGCAGTGGATCAGGTGACCAGAGTTTTCAGGATTCGTATTTCCCCAGGAGCTGATTCCATCCGTGTCAAACCCGGCTCTGGTCACAGAACATTCACATCTTTGATTCCAAATACTGAGTGTGATGCAAATGATGTACTCAATATCGAACACATGGATATATAGTTACTCGGTGGTCATTGCAGGAGGTATCAACAATGCAGGCTCAAAAAATATGATGTAGAGTAACTTGGCCCTTTCCAAAAATAAATATATTAGAACACTAAGCTTATACCATAAATGAGTCCAAAATAAATACTAATTAAGAGCTAGCTTCTGTGAGGAACAGAGCATGCAGAGACAATGAACTAGCAAGTGTGGCCAGTTGTAACAGAAAACTTCTGGAATCCCACCAGTGTCTCCTCACAAAGCCAGTCCTGAGCGTGAGGATGAAAATGAGGAACAACACAAGGCTTGGCGGGGCTGCTGGATCCCATGTTCCAGTGGGGTTTGGAGTTCAGTGTAATTTCTAAGAGTTTCCAACAGAAAGCACAGCAACGGCATTTTCTTACTGGTCAGTTGTCCCAAGCTGGGAGGCCTGGAGCTGATCAAGGAAGTTCAGAAGTTTTCTGGTTTGAACAGATGAACCCCAGGGTTGCTAATGTGGGGACACGGATTCCTTGAAGCTGTGGTGTCTTCTGTGTGAGAAGGGTTTTCCCCCTCCCCTCCCCACTGCTGATCAGGCGGCGCAGAGTGTCCTTTCATTCTGATGAGTGGGAGCTTCACCTTCTGCTTGAGCCGCTAGCCCTGCTTCTTAGCCCCACTCCCACCTCAGAGCTCTCCATTCTGCATTAATGCAGAGAGCGACATGGCAACACAGCAAGAATCAGCCTGACCTAAGGAGTTTATACATCATCAGGAACCCTTCCAAAAGATGTAGGCAAGAGGAAGACGCTTATTTTACCATCATGCAGACAACCCATCTAAAATAGAACCCAGGAAATTAAAGTGTAGCCATATTCTGGACCGTGCCAAATGGATTAAACTATTCTTCAACAAAGGCAAATACCCTTCTGCTGAGGAAAGCCAGAGGTGGTGTAGTCTCTTAGGTGATAAACACAACAGTACCATCCGTGCTATGAAAACAGACAAGAGACCTGATGTTTAATGTAGTTCTACCTCTCTTTAGTGTCATCATAGGTAACTCATCTCTGCCATGAAATCCATGTCAAGTCAATTTAATCATGGCCCCTTTTTTCTAGCAGAGACTGGAGCTGGGGAGGGGAGAGCTTTGATTTGTGTGTGTATAGGGAATCTTTCCATAAGCCTGTTTGGCTCACAGGCATATTTTATAGTGTAGATCCCCTCAGCTACTCAGAAAGGATCAAGGAAGTCCCCCAAACCAGGAAGATAGACCTAGTTGAGCAGCAAAATCTGGCTATCTCTGGAGCTGCTCCCCTCCCCACAGCCGAGCAGGTGTCCCCTACCAGCCACCAAAGATCCACTCTTCACCTCTGGACCCATCTCCTGACCCTGTGAAATGTCCATGTTGAACCATGCTAGACATGTCTGCCTAAATCAAGGCTGTGCCTCTGAAAGGACAAACTCTACTTTGGAAATCAGTTTTGATATAGGAACTTTCCTTTCCTCCTGAAGAAAACATGGAGTGTAAACTACAGTCACCTATTGATCTTCCAGGTTCTGACTCATGATGATCTAGGCAGCTCAACCCTGGTAGTTCACCTAGACGAGAGGGCCCAGAACCACGGGGCCTAGGCAGTAATTTACCTCTTCCTTGTCACCAGTGGGAAGGGCTGCCTGCTTTTGAGGGACCTCTTGTTTTGTATACGGAATTGTTATAGACAGGGTCTTGCTTCCTCAAGGCCAGGGAGGAAGGTATCTGGAGTGAACGCAGGACTGCCGTAAAAAGGATACAGGGTCCCAGGGTCAGCCTACCACCTCGCTCTGCCATTACCAGCTGTATGACTGGGTCAGCCATTCATCATCTCTGGGCCAATGTTCTCTTTCATAAACAAAGGGATAACATGTCTCCTTCACAGAGTTGTGAGGAGGCTAAAATAAAAAAATATATGTGAGAGCTCCTGCTTCATACTAGGCACTCAATAAATGTTGACTACACGAAAAGGCATCTCATGTCACAAGCTATGGGGCCCTGGGGTAAAGACAGGGACGGCTGGGACCAACACCGACCTCCAAAGCAATGGAAAGAGGGTCTTTCCCCTCCAGCTCTAGGCTTGAGCAACAAGCCTGGGTGGCCAGCAATACCTGCTTTAGGTCTGACCACTGTCCTTCTGTGGGGTGTAGGGACTCCGGTCAAGTGTGATGCTGCAAGGGGAAATGGCAAAAAACCACCCATATTCTCCGGGTCTGTGACGGACTGGGGAACCTGCACCGAGAAGCTGAGACTCAGTCTTGCGTTTTACCTTCATCCCTGGGTCCCTGCTTTCTGCTGCTGGGCTGTCCATGGAACTGTTTCTTTCACGCAGTGGCTTTTACTTTCTGGACCCTCTACAAGAGAGAGAGTTAAGGAAGTAAAAGAAACTCAAATCAGGCAGTTTGCTAATGCTAGTAACTCTGAACAGAGATAGGCAAATGGAAAACTATTGATTGTAATAATAGTTTACATCTCTCCACATTTCCCTTAGAAAATGCGAAGTTGGGCAGGCACCTGTTCCAAGGGCTGAATGCCAGGGGCCACGATGACTCACAGGAAGGGAGAGGTATCATTCTTGGTGTACACTGTAAACAACTAATATGAAGCTGCTTTGGCCATGCCTAGGAATGACTGGGTATGGAGACTTAACTGAAGAAGGGAAGGAGGAAGACAATGTGCATCTGCCCTGGGATGCCTGAACTACAATCCTAGAGGCAGGGTAGGCAAGGAGCAGAGGGGCTGCATCAAATGCTTTGCCTTTAATTCAATTCAGATGAACTGTTCGTGGCCCCTGGAGCCAATCCCCAGGAAGGCTTCTGTGATGACAAGTCTGGCTCCATGCTCAAGTGCCTTCAGCTCTGCCCACCAAAGTTAGCAACTTGTAAAATGTTCGTCATTTCCTAATTTTGTATTATAAAATGGAATTAGGAACATAAATAGTAACAAGTAGCAAAACCCCAACCCTGTGTAGGACTAGCATCCTCTCAGCCACCTCTGCGCAGGCCAATAAGTTTGGAAAGTTTTTCACAGTTTTCAAGTTTCAGCGACTCTGCCTTCTGTTTCAGTCGTTCATCTCTGTATAATCCTGCCAAATTTGTCAATTCCGACTCTGAAAGATAAAAGAGGTAACCAATTCATCAAGAGAGTTGGGCTCCTTTGTTTTGTTTCAGTATTTCTGGAATCAAAGCTCCTTTTACTTTCATGCTTTTTCTTTTAATTAAATTTAAGAAACGCTTACTCATTTATTCAAGAAACGCGAATCCGGCAGCTACGCTACACCAGGTGCCGAGGATTAAAGGCCACCTGTGGTCCCAGAGTCCTACAGTATCCGTGCTCTATTATGAAAGCACTGGGCTTAGTTCTTATCAATAGAACATTTGGCACCAGACTTAGGAAACGTGCACGTGTGCAGTAAGAGGAGACTCCGTTTCACGGCCTTCGTACGGATGGCTTTCAGATGGCAGTTGGGAGAGAGTGGAGCCCAATCGCCTGTTCCTGTCATCTGAAACAAAGACAGCTGCTCCATTCTGTCCCCTGCGTTGCTGGATCATAACTCAGACATGCTAACTGACACAGAGCCTCCCTCCGCTGGGCATGCCTTCTATAGAAGGCCAGGCTGCTGGCCGCTTTCTTCATTCCTTCACCACATGTGGGGTCCCTAACTCAAAGGCCAAAGGCAGCTGGGCTCTTTGAAAAGTGAAATCATCTGGATCCGGTGACCTTTGTCTCCTAGACTAAATGAATTTCACTTTCTCTTCATGGTGGAGAAGGTCATTCTATTTTTAACCAGAATATAATCTCTGCTGTCTTTGCCGACGCAACGGCGCTTTGGCTGCCTCTAGTTTTCATTCTTTTGTCAAGTTTCAGAGACCTTCTTAGGAAGGAAAGCCTGAAAAGCACCCCCCCAGAGACGTGTTGTGTATTAACAGGATGGCACGCTTGGATGGGCCGTGTGGCTTCTGAAAGCCTCCGACAGCAGGCAGCTTCTCGGTGTTTAAAGGACCATACTTGTGAAAATGCTATTTTAATCATTTTGAAATATGTCTATCCATTCTTAATCATCCTGCCAACAGATTTTGTTTTTCTTGCTGAAACGAGAGGCACCTGTCTGATTAATCAGCAAACTGACTGGAAACAGGAATTAATACTTAGCCAGGGGGAACAATGGGCATTGGTTTCTGAGTAAGTTTCTATCAACACAAAACGCTGTCTGGCATTTCTGCTCACAATGATTCTATTTACACCAAGTAAGGCCCAAAGTGCAGATTAAGTGCAGGACTCCAGGGTGAGGGGTGGCCATGCATGAAAACCCTCCCTCTACAATGGAGGCTCAGAGCCCAGGCCCTAGCCCAGCAGTGGCTTGGCAAGCGGCGTGGCTCCTGGGCCCCAGAACAATGTGCTCTCACCCGCTGGTGTGAGTGCCCGCACTGCCTGCTCGCCCGGGCTTGCCTTGGCACCGTCATCCTTGCAGGCGACGGGGCTTCCTGGAGGACTGGGTGCCACGCCGAAATGAAAGCCCTCCCCCCCCCACCCCGGGGACCTGCCCACCGCACCAACTCCATTTCCCTGGCTTCTCTGGTGTGTGGGAAACCTGTTCAGGAGGCCTCTATGCCTTTGGTCCTCTGGAGTCACTGTTACGCCCGCATATGGAACAGATTCTGTGGCTTTGCTTTTCCTTCAACGATTTCCTTAGATTTTTTGTTTGCTGAGCTTATCTCAATGCCTCATTGCCTGACATCTCATTCTAGAAAGAATTAAGGGCTAGTGATTCTTACTATTTTCTACATTGAAGTCCACTCTAACAAGCTGATGAAGGATTAGATAGATGCTTTTCTCAAAATATCACATTGCTTTACATAAAGTTCATTAAAACCAGGTTTCAAAGCTCCAGGGGTTGAGACCCCTGCTCCAGTTCAATGACTTTGCAACAATGTCAGTGTTTCAATGACCACCACCATGCTTGGAGAAACTTCTCTCCAAACTGCCAGTGAATGCTTTTGCCCTTCCATGAGTAAAAGGTCAGCTCAATATGTTACTTTTGACACATTTTGACTGTTAATACTCAGTGACTTCTAAGTGAAAAAAAGAAAAAAAAAATCCTTGGAAGGGGCATCAAGACAATGGCTTTTCTTTTTTTTTTTTTCTTCTTTACCAAATGTTTCCCTTGCCCCTTGTGATAGATGGACAGAGCACTGAGCCTTCCAGGCAAACAGACTCAGGCAAATTGCTAAAGAAACAAGTCCCAAAGCCCCTCCAAAGAACCCTCTGCACTCTTGTGGTCTGGAAGACCGCAACGGATCCCAGCCACCCTCAGGATCCAGCTCCATGAGACAGAACTACATCCAGTCTAGCCAGGTCACACAAGGCCTGGACTCTAGCAGGAACCGGGCGCTTACTATGTGCCAGACACCAGGCTAAGCATTATACCCATACCCTCTTCTATAGCCCGTACGGCGTCTCTAGGAGGAAGTGCGTCTTATCCCCATTTCAAAGCCTAAGCTTCTACCCACGGTGCTGCCCTGGTCCAGGGCATGGAAAAAGTGCTCCTCGGCCGGGCAGGGCCAGGATCTCAGCTCAGCTCTGCCAGGCTGGGCGGCAGATCCTGCCTGTTACTTTTGTCCATCCCAGCCCAGTGGCACTTCCCCTGGCATTGGGTTGATTATCTAGATGCAGCTGTGGAGGAGTAAACAGGGCAATCAGTGTTCATAGTAGGGAATTACTCACAGAAGTTCACTCAGATTAAGCATTCTAAGGGAAAACAGAGAAGAGAAATGAACAAAAGATTAAAAAAGACAATGGCTAACTTTGCTAAAAACAGTTTCCATTCGGTATTTTGCCAAGAGTGAACTTTGTTCTCAAGTGGGTTTATTTTTACAACCTCCAAGTGCTAAATTTAACCTTGGCTGCACTTGCTGCTGGATCCGGAGGGCACATGCTGCTCATTCTCAAATGGCATTTGGGTTGTGGAGAGAGTCTGGACAACCACCCTTAAATGCCAGAAATAGATTTTTAAGGGGTGTGTGCAGATAACCCCCTCTTTGGAACTTGTGGGTACATGCATCCTGCTTACCCATTGGATTTTTATTTATACCTAGAGAGTACCAAAGTCCTGAAACTAGGCCTCATGGAGATGGGGAGAAGAAGCCTAAAAGCCATTTTAGATGTAATCTTTACCGTGAGCTCTTTGCATAGTTCCAGCTGGGGAGTGTATGTGGGTGGGTGTGTGTTTGAAGAATGTGAAATGCAGATTTTCATCCAGTTCTTGCAGAAAGCAACAAATTCAAAACACTCCCAGGGCTGAATACAATGGGGACTTTTAGGACACACACTGTGGCCTTCACCTGATTTAGATCTGTGTATAAAATGCCTTTCTGTCCAAAGCCTTTTCTTGCTCCAAAATTCTTTCCTGATCTTTGAAACTTGCAACAACTAGTTTAACATGAGGTAGGGTACTTCCTGACCTCCTCAGTTTTTTTCAGTATTTATTTTTCAGTAAATTTTGAAAAGCAACTTCCTCCTGCTTAATTTCCCCTTACGTCTCAGAATCATTGCCCATCAAGCTCCTAATGCACCTGAGAGTGGAGGTGGGCTCTGCCCTACAGAAGTAGAGGGCAGAGACAAGGTCCCTAGGGGCGAGGGTAAGGACGCGAACCCTGCTCTGTGATTTTTAATCCGCACACATTTTCATTATTTTCCAGGTCTGAGAATCCTCTCTTCCAAGGACATTTGTTGAGCACCTGTTCTAGAGCAAGGATGGTGCCAGGGGCCTGGGACACAAGATGGGTAAGACATGGCTCTTATCGTCAGAGGCCCACAGTCCGGCAGGGAGACTGACACGCACTGACAGCGCACGAACGCTGAGAGCAGTACTGTGTTAGCAGTGTGGACCAAGTGCTTTAAGAACACACAGGAAGGACAGATTAACGTGGCGGTGGGGTTGGGCTGCATGATGGGTCAGCAAGGGCTCAGCAGCACTGTGACTGAAGAGCTAATCTTATCAGGCACTGGTAGACATTTAATGATATCCAGTTATACCATTTAAAAAATGAGTTCGTTTGCTTGTTAAAAATTAAAGCGACGTTTTATAGGATACAGTTATTAAGGTTGTGTGTATGTGCCCCCCGCCGCCCGCACAGGTGTGCATACGTGTGTGTATGTGTAGAATTCAAAGGGATGAAAAGTGAACCTGCTGGCTGAGAGGCAGGGCTACCCTTGCTACCCGTACTCCCCATTAATACTCAACTGGAGTTGTAAGCCAACTGGCGGACACTGACACCCCCATTGTCTCCAGAGAGGGAACAGAGTGGAAGGCCTGCTCAAACCCACCCTTATTGAAGGGGCAGACCCAGAGGTAGGGTCACTTTTGATCTAGGTGGCCCCAGCCGGCTAGCGCTGACTTTTGGTCTGGCTCAAAAAATTAGGCTGGATCAATCAGATTTTCCCATAGGGAATGTGGAATTAGGAAACTGGACCAATCCAGCTAGAAAGGGGCCAATAACTAGTGGGCCTGTGGGAGCTGGGAGAGGGATGGGGAGGGTAGCAACCAAAACCAACCAGGGCAACCAACCAAAACCAACCAGGGGAGGGTAGCAACCAAAACCTTGAAAGCTTGAAGAAGCAAAGGAAGGCAATTGGCAGAGAGGAGAGTGGGGCAGACGGGCAGTGAGTAGCAGACACTCAGAGACAGACAGATGGATAGGCAACTAGTGCTGCCTGCCTAAGTTCCTAATGTTTCCAAATTCTGGCCACATGTATCCTGACAATGAACTTCACTTTTTTGGTGGTGTCCCAAATGGGCCTCTGTCCTGTCTCTGATCACATACATAAACACGTGCTACTCAAACAAGGGAAGAGGAGGGATTGGGAAGCTGGGCATGCCTCAGGTCGGAAGCATGACCACCAGTTAAAGTCCCTTTTAGAACATCTTACTTTGTTGTTTCTCCTTCCAACAACTTGTCTGGACGTAATCAATGTAATCCTTCTCTATCGTCTTCTCCAGGTCACGGAGAGATGCTCCTCTGTAGGCCTTCTCAAAGTTTTTATCCACAAAGTAAGGCACCTGCAGGTTCTGCGTTTCTCTAGAGATGGTGTAGCCCAAGGTCCTGAGACAAAGAGAGGGAGGCTCAGGTAAGCTGGTTATATTTGACAATCTCACTCTTAGCACTGACTGCACAGATATCATGACCATAATCCCCTCTTCATAGGGCAGCTGCAAGTACCACTGTCTAATACACCTAACATTTATTATTTCCGTAGCAACTGTAATGTCATCATTATGTGAGTGTATTCATATTGTGAATTCAGCCTCAGTATAGTTACTTTATTCTCTTCAAGGATTTACCTCTCTTATATTGCTTTCTGTGCTAAAAGTTGAGTGCTGAATGCTTTTTTTAGTATATGTGCTGCGGAAGTGAGCACGAGTGCTGAATGCTTAAAAAAATGTACATTGTGGGGGCGCCTGGGTGGCTCAGTTGGTTAAGCGACTGCCTTCGGCTCAGGTCATGATCCTGGAGTCCCGGGATCGAGCCCCTCATCGGGCTCCCTGCTCAGCAGGGAGTCTGCTTCTCCCTCTGACCCTCCCCCTCTCATGCTCTCTGTCTCTCATTCTCTCTCTCTCAAATAAATAAATAAAATCTTTAAAAAAAAAATGTACATTGTGTAGGACCTAGCATGGTACCTGGCACAGACCAGGCTATTGGTAAATGTTGGGCAAATGAACTGATCATTACAGTAAACTATCCACAAATAACCAGATAGCTTACACCAACCTAGCATCAATTTTTAGGACAGGAGAGAAAGTACTTCACACACAGCTGCTAAGTGAGAACTGCAAAAACGTCAGACAAAAGATTTCAGTGATGCTTCTGCACCAACTCTTTGTGGGTCTAATATATCCAATGGTATGTGGTGCTCAGAAACATCAGTAGGTCTGGGTTAACTAAATACTAACCATAAGGAAGTATGGAAGGAAGCTCAAATTCAAGTTAAAACAATGTGACAGCAATGTGCAAAATCCAGGCTAGTTTTATTCAAACTAGACAAATTCCATCTCAACTGAGTTAATATTTTCCCAGTTTTCTCCTTTGATCTCCCTACTTAAGCATCGTGCTGGATGTCTAAGGGTTCAGGCCATGACTGCTCCCACCTCCATCTGGGAAGGTGTTAGCAGGGCAGGTTCCTCTCTGCCCCACTGGTTAGGCAAAAAAGGAGGAAGAAGTAGCAAATGGAGAAACATAGGAAGTTGAGAAATAGAGGGAATCAGGCCAGAATGACCTGATAGTAATAACCCCTCTCTGAGACTCAGCTTTCTTCTCTGTAAAAGGAAGATATTGATCTAGAATACAGTCTTCAGTCTACAGTGATTGCTAGCAAAGCCTCCTCCTGTTATGTACTGCCCCATGGGTTCCACATTTTCTAAGGTTTTTTTATTTTTTTAAAGATTTTATTTTTAAGTAATCTCTACACCCAATGTGGGGCTTGAACTCATAACCCCGAGACTAAGAGTTACATGCTCTACGGACTGAGCCAGCCAGGTCCCCCCATTTTGTAAGGTTTTTGTCTGCTAAACCATAATGAGTAATGACTCATTTCTCATCTAACTTAAAATAATTAATCCAGTGGGATGCCAGCGTGGCTCAGTTGGTTAAGTGTTTGACTCTTGATTTCAGCTCAGGTCTGGATCTCAGGGTGGTGAGTTTAAGCCCCATGTTGGGCTCCATGCTGGGTGTGGAGCCTACTTAAAAAAAAAAATTAATCCAATGATCATCAGACTATGAACCAGAGTTATTTGGAGAGCTTATTAAAACTCAGATTGCTAGTTCTCATCCTCAGAGTTTCTGATTCAATACGTATGGCGTGAGGCTTAAGAGTTTGCATTTCTTTTTTTTTAAGATTTTATTTATTTATTTGAGAGAGAGAGAATGAGAGAGAGCACATGAGAGGGGGAAGGGTCAGAGGGAGAAGCAGACTCCCCGCCGAGCAGGGAGCCCAATGCGGGACTCGATCCCGGGACTCCAGGATCATGACCTGAGCCGAAGGCAGTTGCTTAACCAACTGAGCCACCCAGGCGCCCCAAGAGTTTGCATTTCTAACATGTTACCAGTTGCTCTAGATGATGCTGGTCTGGGGACCGAACTATGAAAACTGAACTAATTGAAATAATTAATTGAAGAAATAAAGAAATTCCTATCATAGCTCATAGCAAAGAAATGTGATACTATGGTTTGTGTAGCCTCATCATGAATAAATGTCCCATTCTTCCAATTACTTAAATTGAAAATAATCACTGGATCTCAGATACTATGTTCCCAACCTGGAGGAGTCCAGTGATCCGATCACAAGCTCAATAGGGTCCACTCTAAAGCTAACATGATATAATAAGGATTTAATCTGAAACTGGAGGTAAGTCTATTCATCCTTCAGAAACCAGTTGCTGCTGTTCTGCGGCTGACCGGATGATGTCGCTGTAGAGCAAAATAATCCATGGCCCGAGCACACAGGAAACGCCTACAGTAATTTTGAGTCTCTGCACTATTACTATCCAGCTGTTCCTTTAAACAAAAAATCCGTGTTTTCTACAAAGGCGAAATGAAATGTTAGCAGTACCAGCAAAATATTCAAGTCTTTTGCCCTCCAAATTGTTAACAAAGATTTATAAATATTTGACTTACGATTTATAGAATAGACTGTATGGGGGATTAGCAGCTAGCAGCTGAGTAATGACAGATATAATCACAATCACAAGAACTGGAAGTAACTGAATAAATGCAGAATACGTGGTCTGAAAAGAAAAAATATCTGGCGTAAGTGTTCTTCATCAATATAAAGCTTACAGAAAACAGGATAGTTTTCCCAAAGAAAATTCAAATTACTGCAATATATTGCACAAAGCCCAAAGCTTTTCTAGGAAGGCTGTTCTCTCTGTGGAGAAGACTGAAGGAGACCCACCCACAACCTGTACTGACACCCAGTAATTCTCATGCAGCCCCCTTTTCTAAGACCAATGAAGAAGACACTTCTGGGTGAGTCTGCCCAGACTGTGACTCTCACGGGGCCACGTCAGTATTATGCAGCTCTGTCGCCTTGGCCACAGCTGAATGGACTGGGAGACATCTAACCCTAGCAGGGGTAATCACTACTCCCTCCCAGGAGTTTGGAACTGAGACTCATCATACTGTTCACTGCTGGGCAGTCACCTGAAGAAAGGACATGTACTCTTAGGCAGTGTGGATGGGCTATTTGTAAGAGGAAGCAGAACAAGCTAGGCTGCTTAGAGAGAATAAAGCAGATGCAGAGAGGCGGGAAAGGTGGAGACAATCTGGCCACAAAGAGTTATGGAAAGATAGCTGCATGGGTACCTGACTATACCCTAGTTTCTGGTTCCCATCTGTCCTGAGGCCCACGTGTGCTTCCTGCCCTTGAGCTTCATGAGACCCCCTAGATCCCTTACTTTAAAGTCCCTCTAGTTCTGAATATTTTGAAGGGGGTTCCTATTTTCTGCAGGGAAGAAAACCTTGGTCAAGACAGCCCCACAGGGGAACTGATTTCCTGGAACAACCCCCGAAGAACGGGTGGGGAAGGAGGTACCATTCTGGCCTATCTGGGCCAGTGATCCACCCCTTCCTACCACTACCTCTGCTTTCCTAAAACACGTTTTAACAACATAATTCAAGTTGAACTTTTAAAACCTGATCATAGACACCGTAAGAGTCCGCTCAGTACAAGTGTGGATGAGCAGTAGTTTGGCTGTCCGCCCTTGGTACCTGAGGCTTTTCTTCTTCTTCTTCCTTCCGTGTCTGCATCCGCTCATGTCGGTGCCGCCGGCGGTAATAGTGGCTGTCATCTGTCACATTTGAAAACATATGAATGTTTCCTGGGAAAGAAAGAAAAACCTAGTATGGGATATGACAAACACTCCTTCCTTGCTTTTTCTAAGCTCCTTGTTCCCAGCTAGGTTCTCTGACGGCAGAGTATTGTCCCATTTTACTCAGTAGAAAAATAAAACAGTAGGTAAACCCAGTGAACCAGGTGTAATGGAATGTGCTTAGTTCTCCTGCTTTTATTTAAGTAGTCCTTTAGAACTAGTGAGTGAGAGAACCCCAAAAGTCTAGTAAAGAAAGAGCATTTGGGCCATGAATCCTGACACGCTCTTTTCTGCTTCCTTGCCCAGTATCAGATTATGTCACTAGTATCTTCCTTCCTTCCTCTTTCTTTCTTTCCTTCTTTCTTCCTCCCTCCCTCCCTCCCTTCCTTTCCTTCTTACTTTCTTCCTTCCTTTCTCTCTCCCTCCCTTCCTTCCTTCTTTCCTTCCTTCCTTCTCTCTCTCTCTTTCTTTCTTTCCTCCACACCCAGCATGGAGTCCAACATGGGGCCCGAACTCAGAATCCTGAGATCAAGACCTGAGCTGAGATCAAGAGTTGAATGCCCAACTGACTAAGCCACCCAGGCGCCCCAACACTAGTGTCTTTAACAGCAATTCATAAAATTCAGTTTACTTCCTGGGCATTTAATTACCCCAACATCGAACTCTCTGGAGGTATTTTTCTAACTTTTATCTTTATATAGCTGCTATTTTGCAATAATGATAATAGGCATCTTGCTACTTATTTATAAAGCACTTAAAAATATCTAATCCTTGGGCGCCTGGGTGGCTCAGTTGGTTAAGCGACTGCCTTCGGCTCAGGTCATGATCCTGGAGTCCCTGGATCGAGTCCCGCATCGGGCTCCCTGCTCGGCAGGGAGTCTGCTTCTCCCTCTGACCCTCCCCCCTCTCATGTGCTCTCTCTCTCATTCTCTCTGTCTCAAATAAATAAATAATCCTTGGGCGCCTGGGTGGCTCAGTTGGTTAAGCGACTGCCTCCGGCTCAGGTCATGATCCTGGAGTCCCTGGATCGAGTCCCGCATCGGGCTCCCTGCTCGGCAGGGAGCCTGCTTCTCCCTCTGACCCTCCCCCCTCTCATGTGCTCTCTCTCATTCTCTCTGTCTCAAATAAATAAATAAAATCTTTAAAAAAAAAAATCTAATCCTCACAGCAGCCCTGTGAGGTTGATATTATCAGTCCCATTTCTCAGGTGAGGAAACAGGATCAGAGAGACCAAGTGATTTGGTTAAAATCATGCACAGTTGGAGGCTGGAGACTTGCCTCAAACCCCAGCTCATCTGATTCCAAATACTTTCTTTTTTTTTTTAAGATTTTATTTATTTATTTGACGGAGAGAGAGAGAGAGAGCACAAGCAGGGGGAGTGGCAGGCAAGGGAGAGGGAGAAACAGGCTTCCCGCGGAGCAGGGAGCCTGATGCGGGGCTTGATCCCAGGACCCAGGGATCATGACCCAAGTCAAAGGCAGACACTTAACTGACTGAGCCACCCAGGCACCCTGATTCCAAATTCTTGTTCTTTCCACCATACCATGGTCCCTCTATTCAGATCCTCAAAGAGGAGCTAGCTGAGATACAGAAATATATATATATATATATATATAAATTTTTCAGCTATAATTTTGAAATACTCACCTGTAGGAAAATGTCCTCCAAAGAAGACATTGAATAGCTCTTCTGGAGTGATGTCAGCTTCGAAGTCCCTGTAATAATTATAAGGTCTGCCTCGAGGGGCAGTGAAAGTCACCTGTTCATCTCCATATTCATCGTAGCGGAGTCGCTTGTCAGGATTACTCAGGACTGCAAAGGCATTTCCTATTGCTGCAACCAAAACCAAAAAGTATCTGAGGACACAGTCTTTGCTGTAGCTGAGGGTGATGCAAGAAGCAGCAATGAAGAGCCCAGAGCTGTTGGCTGCTAGATGACCTCACAGGGGCCTAAGAAAAGGTGCTTGGACCTAGAAAGTTCACCAGAGTTCTTGCCCTTCACATTTTCCATGATCTAGTTTCATAAGCCAGAAGCAATATTGGACTCAAGATGAACTAAGAACTACTGCTTTCATTCATCAAAAATGTGTCCTTGGGCGCCTGGGTGGCTCAGTTGGTTAAGTGACTGCCTTCGGCTCAGGTCATGATCCTGGAGTCCCGGGATCAAGTCCCGCATCGGGCTCCCTGCTCGGCGGGGGGTCTGCTTCTCCCTCTGCCCTCTTCCCTCTTGTGGTCTCTGTCTCTCATTCTCTCTCTCTCAAATAAATAAATAAAATCTTTAAAAAAAAAATGTGTCCTTATTTTCCTTGAGAGCAATTAGTTTATGGTTGGAAACAGTTCATACATAAGCAGTGGTATTCTAACTTGAAGTCAGAAACAATCTCCTAAATAAAATAATCAGTAAAATCAATTGCTTGGCTAAAAGCAAGGTCCTCACTAATCACAGTCACATTTCAGCTTACTTTAGAAAGTAGGTTTTAGAAATTAAGAAACCTATCTCCAGTGTCTCAATGACAGATCAAAGACTGGATAGATTACAAATGCTTACCATCACCTCTTCTCCCTATGCACAAATGTGCAAATGTTGTCCAATTAAAATTCATTTAAACATGCAATCAGTGCCACTAATCAAAGAAACCTTGAAAACAAATCTTTAAGACATCCCCATTCCCTGCCTCTAATTCAGCCAACACTATGAGAAACACAGTCAGAAAGAGCATTTCTTTATGATTCTTCTAGCGAGGAAATTATATTAAATATATACGGCAATAAAACAAACAAAAAAGGCTAAATAGTTGCATCAACATCACATCCCTTGAAATCTGGCCAATTTCTCATAGAAATGGCATTAGTCTGTGAGATACTTTATGTGAAGGTGTAAAGAGAATGTGGGTTATCTAGTTGTTTCCTTGTAGAAACTGTGGGGAGAACAAGATTCACAATGGCACATCAACAAAGGCAGATTATCTTTTAGGTAAACGTTGACTTTTAAAATTTTTTTACTTTTTCTTTAGAAAAATTCCAAATCTACAGAAAATTTGAAAAAATAGTAAATACATGTATACCCTCTATTTGATTCATCAGCTGTTAGTATTTGCCACATTGCTTCCCTCAACTCTCCATACATACATAAATACATGCATACATGTAGTATGTATACATTTCTTTTGCTGAACCATTTGAAAGTAGGCTGCAGATACTATGGCACGTCATCCCTAAATATTTCAGCATCTATCTCCTAGAATAGTCTCCTACATGATCACAGTACCATTATCATAGCTAAGAAAATTAACATCAACCCATGCAATTCATGCGAGGTTCATGTATTGTATTTGCTTTTATATCCTTTCAGTTTCTTTTCCTCTAGAATAGTCACCCGCCTTTTCTGCTTTTCATTATGTTGACTTTTTTGAAGAGCAGGTCAGTGTTCTTTGTAGAATGTCCCATATTTTGATGGTTTCCTCATTATTAGATTCAGGTTGAACATTTTGGCAAGAATACCACACAGGTGCCATATCATATAATGTGAGGTGGGTCCAGTATTGGTGACGATAAGTTGGATCACTGGGTTAAAGTGTTGACAGCTAGATATCTCCATTATAAAGCAATGTTTCCCCTTTGAAATCAGTAGGTATTCTGGGGGATGATCCTCTGACAATCATGTGAATATCCTATTCAGCAAAAACCTGTCACCCGGCAGTTTTAGCATCCATTGATAATTCTTGCCTGAATCAAAGGCTTCCTTGGGGGTGAAGCTCTTAAGTAAGATTTTTATTTATGTCTCACATCTAAAAAGGTACCATTACAGAGAAATCAAATATTTTTTTTTTCCAAAAGAAATTAAGGTAAGTGAATGAAGACAAGAGGGAGCTATGCTGATAATCACTATTTAAGAGGTATGGCAGGAAAGAAAGGCCCTGTTTGTGGCCTTATAAAACAATTACGGGGGGAGGCTGAAAACAACTTGACAAGGGCAGAATTAAACATTAATTCAGGATCAGACCTTTGAAAGCGTCAGTTGCTCCAGGAGCACAATTCTTGTCAGGGTGAAATTTCAGGGCAAGTTTTCGGTAAGCTTTCTTAAGCTCTTCATCACTGGCATTTCGAGAAACTCCTAGAATTTCATAGTAATTTCTGCATTTCTTGATCCTAAAAACACACATCAGAAACATGTATGTCTACAAAGGCTCCTTTTGTACGATTAACTGTAAAATAGTATGTTTACATTTTACATTTACATCTGATCCTCCAATCTGTGAGCCCCAAAACAAACCTAAAAGAAAACTGGTGAACACATTCATGAAACTTTCAAATTGATTAACAAGGTCCTCCTCCCACCGAGAGCTTAATGCCTTTCAAAGTATTTTTACATCCAATATTTTATTCTTCCTGTATCCCTACAAGTGGGTAGAACAGACATGCTGATCCTTATATCAAGGTGCAGGCTAAGCCCCTGAGAGTTCAACCACAGGACAGCAAAGTCAGAAGAAACACCTAATCACTCTACTGATTTCTCTCTTTTTCCTTAAGGCTGCCTTTCAAAACTTTGTTTTGAAAAGTTAATATAGGGGCCCTTGGGTGGCTCAGTCCTTAACTGTCTGCCTTCAGCTTGGGTCATGATCCCGGGGTCCTGGGATCGAGTCCCACATCTAGCTCCCTGCTCCGCGGGAAGCCTGCTTCTCCCTCTCCCACTCCCCCTGCTTGTGTTCCCTCTCTTGCTGTGTCTTTCTCTGTCAAATAAATAAATAAAATCTTTAAAAAAAAAAAGTTAATATATACACACACGGTAGAAGATAAATATCCAACAGTACTAAACTATGTACAGTGAAAAAACTTCCTGCTTCCCTATTCCCTGCCCCCCAGTCTCCCACCCTAAGGACAACCACTGTTAGTGTTCTGTGAATCCTGTGTATACGTATAGACACCTCTCCATTTTTTTTTTTTTTACCTAGGAGCATATTGTAATCACCTTTATACATCCTTTTTTTTTAAAAACCAAAAGTTTATTTTAGAGATGGATTGATAACATATAGAAATGAGTACAGGATAATAGTTTAGACTAGAGTGGCAGTTCTGAACTTTTTGATCTCAGAAGTTTCTTATACTCTTAAATAAAACTACCTAAGTCCCAGAAGAGTTTCTGTTCATGTGAGTTATAGCTATCAATATTTACCATACTAGAAATGAAAACAAGAAATTTAAAAACAGAGTGATGATACACTACATATCAGGTAGCTTCTCAAAAATTCCACTCTACTATCATGAGAGAATGAGAGTGAAAAAGGCAAATAATGTGTTTGTACCATTATGAAAATTGTTTTAAACTTGCAGACCCCCAAGGGTTTTGGGGTTCCCAAGCTACACTCTGAGAAATGTTGTACTAGAGCATGAACTCTGGGGCCAAAATGCCTTGGTTGGGATCTTATCTTGCTGTGTAATTAACCTCTGTGCCTTAGTGTTATCTTCTGAAATGGGCTAATAATTTGAACTATATTTCACAAGCTGTTATCATTTAAATGAAGTATTCATCAAAGTGCTTGATAGCATGTGACACCCCATAAATATTGGCTATTATATATCTATGTCATTCTTTTCAAAAGCTGCATTGCTTTTATGGATTATATTTATTGCATTTTATGGATTATATATATCCTCTACTGATAGGCACTTACAGAATATCTCCAGTCTTTTGCAACTACACGATCCAGTTAGGCAGAGAGAGGCCCAGGGTCTTGCTCAGGAGTTCAAAGTAAGTCAGTAACACAGGCTGGACTGTAAAGCAGGGTCTGGAATGTCAGTCATGGTCCTTCCCCAAGAGCTGCCCATGGGGATCCTTTGGATCCCCAGCCCAGTTTCCAATCTCTGCTTCCATGGCAGATACTCCTCTGCCTCTTTCTCTCTTTTGTATAAATTTGTTATTTGTTTAATAACATTTTTCTTGAGCTACAATTCACATATCACAAAGTTTACTCTTTTAAAATGCACAATTCACTGATCTTTTACAAAGTATATTCACAGAGTTGTGCACCCATCATCATTATCTAATTCCAGAACATCTTCATTACACCAGAAAGAAACCCCATACTCATTGGCAGTCATTCCTCATTTTACTTCGCAACCCCTGGCAACCAATAATGTACTTTCTGTCTCTATAAATTTGCCATTCTGGACATTTCATATAAAAGGAATTATACAAAATGTGGACTTTTGTGTTTGGCTTCTTTGACTAGCATAATGTTCAAGATTCATTCATGTTGTAGTATGTATCAGTACTTCATTCCCTTTATTACCAAGAAGTATTCATTGTATGGATATTCCCCATTTTGTTTATCGATTCATCAGTTAATGGACATGCAGGTTGTTTCCATTTGGGGGTTATTATGGATAATTCTGTACGAATGTTCACGTACAAGTTTTTGTGTGGAAGTATGTTTTTATTTCTCTTGGTATTTACCTAGGAGCAGATTGCTAGGTCAGGTGCTATGTTTAACCTTCTGAGGAACTGGCATTGTATTTTCCAACCTGGCCACACTGTTTTCCATTCCTACAAGCAATATATAAGTGTTCCCATTTCTCCACATTCTTATCAATACTTGCTGTTGTCCATCTTTTTGATTATTGCCATCCTAGTGGGTGTGAGGTGGTGTGGTATCTCACTGTGGCTTTGGTTTGTATTTCCCTACTGACTCATGATACTGAGCAACTTTTCATGTGCTTATTGGCCATTTGTAGATTATTTTTTTTAAATATATTTTTTAAACATTTGTATATATTCTTTGGAGGAATGCCTAGCAGATCCTTTGCCCATTTTTCAATTGGGCTATTTGTCTTTTTATTGTTGAATTGTAAGAGTATTTTATATGTTCTAGATATAAGTCCCTTATCAGGGACTTTCAAACATAATTTGAAACATTTTCTCCTGTACCGTGAATTGATTTTTCACTTTCTTGATGGTATCTTTTGAATACAAAAGCTTTAAATCTTCATGAAATGCAGTTACCTATTTTTTTCTTTTGTCATTTGTATTTTGGGTGTCATGTCATGGAAGAGGTACATTTATGTTTTCTTCTAAGAGTTTTATAGCTGTAGCTCTTAATTTCGGCCTTACTTTAGGTCTTTGAGTTAACTTTTGTGTTTGTGTGAGAAAGGAGTCCAAGTGCATTGTTTTGCATGTGGGTATCCAGTTGTCCCAACACATGTATTAAAGACAATTCTTTCCCCTATTAAATTGCCTTGGCACTCTTTCTTTTCTTTTCTTTTTTTAAAGTAAGCTCTACACTCAATGTCGGGATTAAACTCATGACCCCGAGATCAAGAGTTGCATGCTCCACTGACTGAGCCAGCCAGGTGCCCCTGCTTTGGCACTCTTGTCAAAAAAATCAGTTGAGGGTGCCTGGGTGGCTCAGTTAGTTACACAACTGCCTTTAGCTCAGGTCATGATCCCGGGGTCCTAGGACTGAGTCCCACATTGGGCTCCCTGCTCAGCAGGGAGTCTGCTTCTCCCTCTGACCCTCCCCCCTCTCATGCTCTCTCTCTCTCTCTCAAATAAAATCTTTTTTTTTTATT